TCAAATTTGCTCTTAAGCAGTGGAACAAGGATGTTTTTGGGAATCTGGAATGGAGAAAGAACAAAGTCCTCGCTGATTTTTCTGAGATTGATCATCTTGAGGAGGCGAGAGGGGATGTAGAGTCTCTATGTTCTAGGAGAGTCTCCTGTCAGGCGGTTCTTGCTGAGATTGCTAATATGGAGGAGATCTCGTGGCAACAAAAATCTCGGGCTCTTTGGCTAAAAGAAGGAGATCGGAACACAAAATTCTTCCACAGATTAGCTAACGCTCATAGGAGGAGTAATCATATAGGAAGAATTCAGGTGGAAGGTGTGGAGCTGTGGAGGGAGGAAGAGGTGCATAACAGGATTGCTTCTTTTTATCAGAAGCTTAATACCGAGCCATGAGTTTAGAGGCCCAAACTTGATGGTCTCCATTTTGAGGCTATTTTTGAGCTGGATAGGGATAGGATTGATAATTCTTTTACTGAAGAAGTTCTAAAGGCTTTATCAAGTTGCAATGGGGACAAAGCTCCGGGCCTGATGGTCTTCCTATGCGTTTTTTGATGGAAAGTCGGGCAGTAGTAAGAAATGAGGTAATAGGTACTTTCAAGAGTTTCATTCTTCTGGCGTCTTTGAGAAGTCACTTAATGCTTCATTTATTGCCCTTATCCCTAAGAAGGGAGGCGCTTCTGACATAAAGGATTTCGGTCCAATTAGTTTGGTGGGCTGTATTTACAAACTTATTGCTAAGGTGCTTGCTCTAAGGATGAGGGAAGTAACGGATGGGATTATTTCGGACTCCCAGAACGCTTTTGTTGGAGGACGGCAAATTCTTGATTTAGTTCTTATCGCTGGCGAATGTATGCACTCCAGATTGCGAAGTGGTATTCCTGGAGAATTATGCAAACTTGATATTGAGAAAGCATACGATCATGTGAACTGGAATTTCCTACTCTATTTGTTACAAAGAATGGGGTTTGAAAGTAAATGGAGGAAGTGGATTAAGACTTGTCTTTCGTCTGTCAAGTTTTCAATTCTTATGAATGGCCGCTGGTTTCTTTGGGTGCACTCGGGGTATAAGACAAGGTGATCCTTTGTCATCTTTCCTTTTTCTTGTTGTTATAGAGGGTTTAAGCAGACTTATGCGTAGGGCAAAGGACCTTGGTTTTATTAAGGGATTCAAGGTGGGTAGAGATTTAGTTCATCAGACGGAGATTTCTCATTTATTTTTTGCAGACAATACCCTGGTTTTCTGTGATGCTGATGTGTCTCAACTCCGATATTTGAGGTGTATTCTGACTTGTTTTCAGGCAGTTTCCGGGCTAAAGGTCAATGTGGCTAAGAGTGTGCTTGTCCCAGTAGGGAATGTTCAGGATATCTCCTCTTTAGCTGCAGTTCTAGGATGCAGGGTGAGTTATTTCCCTATTGCTTATTTAGGCTTGCCCCTAGGGGTCTCTTCAAGGATAGTGGGGAGTTGGGATTCAGTGATTGACAAGTATGCGAAGAGATTGGCAGGATGGAAGAAGCAATACTTGTCAAGGGGGGTAAGTTACTCTTATTAAGAGTAAGTCATCGAGCCTTCCCACTTATTTTCTTTCTATGTTCCAAATCCCTTGTTCCGTTGCGGATAGGATTGAAAAAATTCAAAGGGATTTCCGATGGCGAGGAAGGGGTGATGAGTTCAAGTATCACCTTGTCAGATGGGAGCAAGTTTGCAAGCCTGTGAAACTGGGTGGACTTGGCATAAGACGATTAGTTCCTTTCAATCAAGCTCTCCTGGGTAAATGGTTATGGAGATATGGGAGGGAAAGACACCGTCCTTGGCGCAAATTAGTCTCTTATCGGTTTGGGGAATAGGATGGAGGCTGGTCTACACGTTCGGTTACCCTTGTGGGAGGAGTAGGGATGTGGAAGTCTATTTAGAAGGGTTGGGATGCCTTTTCTGCTCATATCAGCTTCAAAGTCCATGATGGACGTCGCGTTCGGTTTTGGGAAGATCTTTAGTGTGGTGATGAGCCACTATCTCATACAATTCCTAGATTATTCAGTATTGCAGTTGATAAACACGCCTACGTAGCTGACTGTTATCAGCTTGATAGCACTGGGATTACGTAGGATGTGCACTTTCGGCGCTCTTTTCAGGATTGGGAAATGGATGAGGTATGTGTTTTTTTGGATCTTCCGTATCTGCAGGAGGGTGTTGGCAGAGATAATGATGATTTGATTTGGGTTCCTTCTTCCCATGGTCGTTTCGAAGATCCTTGTTCTTATGTCTGTCTAATTTTGATAATCGTGACTTCCCGTGGAAAACTATTTGGCGGTCCATGGCTTCAACTAGGGTGGCTTTCTTTGTCTGGACCGCTGTTTGTGGAAAGATTCTGACAATTGATAACTTGAGGAAAAGGGGCAATTGTATTGTTAATTGGTGTTGTCTATACAAGAAAGATGGGGAGTCAATTGATCACCTCCTTATGCATTGCCCTGTGGCAAACGACTGTTGGAATCTTATTCTTGGGTTGTTTGGCATGTGTTGGGTAATGCCACGATCTACTAAGGAATTGATTCATGTATGGAGAGGATGTCGTGTGAGAAGGGATGTACGCGATTTCTGGAGAATTGTCCCACATTGTGTATGGTAGTGCATTTGGAAGGAGAGAAATAGTAGAATATTCGAAGGGAAAGAGTCGTCTACGGCAATGGTGAAACTTCACATTCTTCGTTCTCTTTTCAATTATGTGAAGAGGAACTCTTACGCCTCTTCTGAAGATTTAATTATTTTTTTGGATTCTTTGGGGCCTTAGTCTCGGTTCCACTTCTGTATAAAGGACGCGTTCTCCTTTTGAATGCCTTTTTTTATGTTATTATTACTTATCAAAAAAAATATTATGAGTTAGTGGGTTACCAGCTGTAACCCACTAACCCCCATACGATAGAACTCAAAGGTCAGATGTGTAAAGAGAGTAAAAAGCAAGCACCCGGCTCATTATAACCTATACGGCTATACAACATAAGGTTGTGCACCACATATATCTATATAACCTATATAGTTGTGCACCACATATATCTAGAAAAAAGGTAGAAAAATAGTACTTCACCTTTTTCACTATGTACTTTGTTTTTGCCTCTTCTAAGTTCTAACCTTTCTTGTGTTCTCCGTCTCTTCTAACTCTTGCAAGCTTTCTTCTCTTGTTTGATCAGTTGTAATGGCCCCAAAAATGAGAGCTTCCAAGACAAGAGAAGAGAGCTATCAGAGATATCTTCATAAGGTCCTAAAGCAGGTTCATTCAAAGATGTGGATTTCAAAACAAGCAATGAGTATTGTAAACAGCTTCATGAATGATATGTTTTCAAGGCTTGCTCGGGAGGCATCCTGATGCAGAAGCGGGTAGAAGCGATTCGAAATCAGAATTCAAGTAGAATAAGAAAGAGATTGAGAGAGAAAGGGAAGAAGAATAGAGGGAAGAGAAATCAGAAGAGAAGAAGAATTCAGAAGAGAAGAAAAGAATTCAGAGGGGGAAGAAATCACGATAATCTCAAAATTCAATATCAATAATAATCATCAAAAGTTGTCTTCTTCCTTCGACCACAACGTATCCTCTTCCTAAATTGACGGCAAACTAACCTCCATTAAACACGTAAAGTTAAAAGAGCGTGAATAACACGCTCCAAACCACTTAAATTTCTATGCAAATAATGCGTTAATCACAGTTGTCTTCTTCCTTCGACCACTACGTATCCTCTTCCTAAATCGACGGCAAACTAACCCCCATTACCGACCAACCAAAACAAGGATTTTCTTGAAAGGCCGAGTCCGATCTGGACCTTACAAGGTCCGACGCATATCCCGAGTCCGTGTCCGCGTCGACAATGACACACTCGCTGGTTCCAGCGAGTCCAGGTAACACAGAGTATAGATAGTTGTTCGCAAGACAACAAACAGCAGCAAAACTCGGGTAACTTTGCATCACAAAGTTACGCCCCCCCCCCCCCCCCCCCCCAACAAAAAAACAAACGAAAGAAAAGAGAAGGGAAGGAGGAGTGCATGACACCTACTAATATCAAAGGATATTATTTTTCTCCTTCAGCTTCATGGTTCCAGTAGAGATCAATCGAAGGATGCTTCCTGTGTCTTTTACTTTCTAATTGTTTTCCTTCCTTTTCTGCATTAAATCGGCTTGCAACTAGGCCTGATTCAACATCCTTTCCAACTACATACATTCTAGTTTACAAGCCATAACCTTACCTTCTATGAATTAATCAATTTGACCATCCTAAATTAAAACAATCAGCGCATATTTACCATTTGAAGCCCCAAATCAACCACAGATTTTTCAAATTTTACCCTAAAAGCTTATCATTGTAATCCGTAACCATTCCATACCATACCAGCTCTCTACCAAAAAAATAATACCTGAACGAGTTCCAAGGTTGCCGTTTGGAATTTCCAGCAGCCTTTTTATAAAGATTCAGCAACCAAACACCTCTGAAGACAACCAACTCCAACCCCTTGCCATCCTTACAAACTCCAACCTTTTCTCTCCTTATTAGAACTTAAATTGCTTAACCAAATACCACCATAAAATCAATAGTCAGAGGCTCTCTCAAATAAAACAACTCTTCTTCTGCATATCAAATTTGCAGAAAACTAAGCCACAAAGTGAAGGCACAACTCTAATAGTTTAATTATCCAATTGACATTGGTTTCTTACAGAACTTTGTATTTTCATGGACCTTTAAAGCACCTATATATTAATTTACTTACCACCGAATTGTATGCATACATTTTCTCAGGCAAAAGTCTTGCCAATTTTCTCAGGCAAAAGTCTTGCCAATTACCAGGTTAAAAAACCGAATTACATACAAGTTATACAACAACCAAAATACCAATAAGTCATGTAAAGAAGAATCATAATAATAACAGTAACAAGAATAAAGGACAACAAAAAAATGAAGAAAAATCAAAAGCAGTGGGTTATTCCTTTTCTCTGGAAGGGAGGTGGGTGTTAGGTATTCACTAACCTTGACTCCCTCCACTTGCAGTATTGTTTGTTTAAAAGGATCCAGCAATTCCGATGGTACAGCAGCATCTACCAGTTCCAAGACACTAGAAATTCAGACAACCCATCAAATATGGAGATTTATGTCAAACTCAAAGAAATCATCTTTCTGTTTAGTCAAATACTATCACCTTCAGAAACTTAACAGAACTAATTTTTGAACATTGAAAAGCATAATAACGTAATTCAATGACAGGTTGTTTTCAGCATAAAAAGCACAATATTATATGTGTTATGTATTACCAGTGGTTTGCTAGCTTTTTGTGCCAGCTGTATTTCCAAGAACTGTGAGCTATGTCATACATACACTTCAAGATGTCTGAAGGATCAGTTTTTGAAAATTACAGGACACAGGTTGCAAATATAGGACATGTAGGAAGACAATTTTCAGATATATATAACCTAATAAGTGTGTGTGAAAAAAGAAGGACCAAAACACAATCCTAATTAGTGGAAGTTCCCAAAGCTAGGAAGCACGGACACGCCCCGACACGTGTCGGACACGCCAAAAAACGTGTCTGGAATTTTTTTATTTTTTTTAATTTTCGGACACGGCTCGGACACGGAACGGACACGGCTCAGACACGGCTCAGACAGCTCGGACACGGCTCGGACATGGCTCAGACACGGCTCGGACACACTTTTCTGGAATTTTTTTTTTTTTTTTTAAATTTTTAATGCTGATATGTTAATTTTTTTTTTTTTTTTTTTAATTTTTAATGCTGATATGTTCTATTTTTTGTTTTGTACTACCCTAAAGATGCTGATATATATATATACTAACCTAAAGATGCCACAATTCGCCGTGTCCGTGTCCTAAAGATGCTGATATATATATATACTAACATATCAGTGATATATATATATATATTCCAACTTAAACATATCAGTGTTTTTTTTTTTAAATTATTAATGCTGATATATATATATATATATATATATACTATTCGCCGTGTCCATGTCCTAATTTTTTTGGATTTGCCGTGTCGCCGTGTCCGTGTCGTGTCGTATCCGTGTCCGTGCTTCTTAGTCCCAAAGTAACAAATGCAACCAGAATGGAAAGAAAATAAATTTGTAGACCTTGGATAGCCAACAACTGATGTGGTTTGACCCATGACTAGATAGAATAAGGTAAGGTCATCACGAGATTCAGAAGAGGCACCACTGTATTTTTTTTTTTTTTTTTACTGGGAAAAAAAAAATACCTCTGGTAACCGGTTTGAAGTCCAGCTTTTAGGATCATGCCTGAGACAAATACTCCGGCTAGGGGATCTAGAAACTTCACGCCAAGAATAGATCCTCCTAGCGTCAAGATGAATGGCTTATGATTAGCAACTTATCACAATTTTTTACCATCTAAAGTAGCGTAAGGAGCTGAAATAATTAAAATCTATTAACAACTTGCAAAGGTAAAAGATACGAACTTATCACATACATCAACAAAAAATGGAAGACTAAAGAGTGAATAACACTCACTGCCCCTTATGTTTTCATCACAAATAAATATAGACAGTGTGATAATACTTTAGAATTACTGTTTGAAATGTGTAATCATTAAGATTTAATAATTACTTTATTTGAATAAACTGGTGCACTGGACTAATTGGATAGATTTAGCAAGCATACTAAAATTTCGACATATTATGCCATTTATACAAAATTGAATAAACAAAAATACTTTGGGTAGAGAGAAGATTGGTAGATTAAAGAAACAACAGCTTATAATAACCACCATAAATGTAATAGTTCATTAGCATCTCAAAATGAACAAGGTAATGATCAATGATCCCCATTTTGCTGTTACAACTTATATCATCTCAACACCACTTAACTGCAGCAATGAGTAATAGACAAGTAAAAATTGTTAAAAGTTTATTAACCAATAAACCAGCTTTTATTTAACCTTATCCAAAGTGAATGTCAATTAGAAGAATCAGAGTTCTTACCAACCCCAATGAGAGCAACTAATGAGGAAACAGCATCTGCACGATGATGCCAAGCATTTGCTTTCATCAATCCACTGCCTTGCCTCTCCCCTGCTCTTTTTGTTATCCAGTATAGCCTACAGGTAAAACAAAAATGCGGACTTAACAATGAAGCAACCACAAGAATAAACAAGGCCACTTGAAAGAAAATTTAAATGACAGTGGAATGCCTACAACGCATCAAGATCTCAGGTGGATCTCAATATTGAATTGCGTAGAGCTAAGAACTACATGACTTAGGTAGTAGGAACAATCTTTTTTAAATGATCAGGTAATGAGATGGATTCGATAGCCATAAAAGTTGAAAGACCATTCAGGAAGTTCTATGATTTCCTGGATATGTTCTCTTCATTTCTTTCATGTTCTTCAAAGAGTGATAAGCATTTTAAAAAGTTAAATTTCCTACAAAAACCTAAAATATTAACAAGAATAACATGTCAAAATGAAAATTTAGAAAGAAAAAAAAAATATCATTAATTTCAAAACTAATTTAAAATTTGTAGTTAGCACAAACATGAGAAGATAAATACTAGAATTTCCACCCAAAGAAAAACCATTTATAATCTTCAATATGAGAAAGTGATGCGTTTCACAAGAATACTGACTAGCGACAGCAGAAGTTTTGAGAGAACAAATCAATAAATTTTCCAACCAAGAACACACCCATAGAATGACAGTGTCAAAAAGTATTCTGAAATAGATGAAAAACAAGAAAATAGCAATAAGGAATCAGGGAAAAATGATGAGAAATGAAAATAAATGAAAAGAACTGACAAGAAAAGTTGACAATATCAGATAAATGGCGCTAATACATTTTGACATTTGCCAACAAAGGCCCATGACAGCACCAATATGTCACAATACAGCAGTTGAAAGCTGGCCATAAACAAGTGAAAAAGCTAGAAAGAACATGAACTATGGTTAGAAAAGTACCTAATGGCCTATAATAGGTTGTTGGCCCGTTACCCAATGGTCTGTTTATGTCTCAGTGCAAGCAATAAATCAGACCCAGAGGGGGAGTGAGGACTGTTAGTTGAATTTTTAGTTTGTTTTACTTATTCCTCACAGACAATCACATAGTCATGAAAATAAATAGAGCAGAGACACTAAAACTTTTGCGTGGAAAATGCTACCCACGAAAAACCCACGGGACTTGGTCAAATCATCAACAATCCACTATGAAAAAGGTTACAACTAGGTTGACAGTTTCCACACCCCAAAACCACTATTTATCTCTTGACACAGACCTTAAGTCAAATTCACACTCAGAGTCTTCAGGCCCAGGGGCAGACCATTGAAGGGACTGGGTGGGGGGGGCATGTCCCCCCAAAATTTTATAAAAATAATGTTAAGTGCCTGCAATTAAGTCTAAAATTTTGATATTTGAAATCTGGCCCCACCAAAGATTTTACAAACTTCTATTAAGAACCCTTTAATCAGTTTTTGCATATTTGATATCCGGCCCATTCCAAAATTTACAAGATTTTGTAACGTGCCACCAATTAAGTCTTGAGTTTTGAATAACTAAAATCTAGCTCCCAAACCAAATCCACATAAATAATATCCCACATTATAACCAGAATCTACTAACATGTTGCATGGCCTCAAACACATCAACATATCTCTCTTATACTTCATGTACATGATATCAATACACAATATATATCAATAATTTCATATCAAAACCCAATGCATTTATATGTCAGTATGTAGATTTTTGTTTAATCTCTTTGCATTTTCTAGTACATTGTTTGCCTAATTCAGCATTTCTCTCCTTATATCTAATGCATGCATCTTTTCATATTTGTTCACTGCAATCTACAATTTATTTTTTTCACATCACCATACCACATTCTTTAATGTGTCTGTTATGAGTTTTCGTAGTTTAGCTCTTATTAGATTGGTTTTTGTAATGCTAGATTAAGTAAAAAGTCTAATTTTCCACAACTTTTCTTAGTTAATCCTTTACTATGTGTTCTGTTATTAATTTTCACTTTTTTATGCTAAAAGGTTGCTGGATGTGTTTCATTAAATATGAATCATGTCACATTCTCTAAAAGGTCGTTGAGCACAATTTTGATAGTAAATATTTGATCTTTTTGTTAACTTCTTATACAAATTTATGTCATACTTGACTAGATTTATGACAAAATAATTTTTTTTATTGTGCACATCTATGCCTGAATTAGCTAAACATATTTTTCTAGAGACTTCATGGATTATGAAATGCCTTTATTTTACAAATGGTCTTATTTAAGATATTCTTTACATTAAGAATTAAAACTTCTATTCCCCCCCCCCCCCCCCCCCCCCCCCCCCCCCCCCTCCTTTTTTCCTCCCCAACAAAGTAGAAATTCCTAAGTCCATCCCTATTTATGCCTTTGATCCGCTCCAACTGACTTCGCTCACACAGTCTGCTTCTCCTTCGTTATCCAATCCTTCTACTACATATTCTAATTGTTTGAATTCATTTGCCTCGGTCTTGTTGAACACTCAATCATGAATATCTCAAAGAACCCCTAGATTGAATAATAAGAGAAATTCTCTCACTCACAAGGTTTTTCTCTCTCTAGATGCTTAAAGCCATGGATTACCCCAAACTGGCTGTAGACTGATTCTACTAGCCAATATAGAAGACCCATGCCTTTTGGTAAGTTGAATTCTTGTTGAAATCTGATTTGAAAGAGTTACCAAAAATAAACTTCAGCAGGGTTCGATCAACGGACTGTTGTTAGGGGCTTATTTGTTATTACATATATAATGTTGGGGCTTATGTGTAATTTCTAAAACTTATTATTATAAATATAATGTGGTGGAAGAATAGAAGTATTCTTTCATTCTTTCTCTCTTTCCCCATCTCTCTCTCTTTTTCTCCCATCCTCTTTCTTCTCTTTTCCTTCTTCTTCTTATACTTTACTTTTGATTTGATTACATCTTAAAGTCAACATGGTATCAGAGCATGGTTTCTAAAGCTCTAGGTGGGTAGTTGAAACCCTAAGGCAAGTTTGTGTAAACCCTAGTGGGTGTGAAGGGTTTTGAAGAGATTCCAAGATGGGATTTGTTTGCAAGGAAATAGTGTTAATCACATCCACACGTACCGCGGATCCAACTCCGCGATGAGTTGGCTGGGGGTCGCAGGGTAGTGCGCCCGTGCTGGGGGTTCGGGGCGAGGACTCGGGAAAAAAATTTTGGACCTATTTTTGATCTGTTGCAATCTAGAATCTCGATTGGTGTTTTTCTCGTGTTCGCGTGGTTCTGCAACAGCGGCTTTTTCTTCATTGTTCGCAATTCTAGTATGGTCTACTTTGTTGCTTTCTAGGGTTTGTGTGGTCGCTGCGTGGTCTCTTTTTTATGCATCCCAGAAGACGGTAATCTTTCTAGTTGAAGTTTGTGTGTTAGTGAGGTGGTTCTCTACATATTTTGTTACTGCTTTTGTTTCAGAGGGAATGCCCCCTTCCTTTGCCTGTTCCCATTTAGGGGGAGCTTCTTACTGAGGTGCCTATGTCTGTCCTCCTACCACCGATGATTTGCAGCAGGGAAAGCAGCCAATTGTCTACTCTAGGAGGGCAAAACAAGTTATTGACTCACCCCAGGACCAAGTCTCCCTCGATCCAGGTAATTCCTCAATTGGCATTGATACTCATGATTCTTTTCCCAATAGTATTCTTGCTGATCTTGTTGACCCTATTGCCTATCGTAAGGGTGTTCGTAGTTGTACAAAACATCCCATATCTCAGTTTGTATCCTATGATGCCTTATCTCCAACATATCGTGCTTTCACTTCATGTATCTCCTCTGTATCTATTCCTTCTAGTGTTTCAGATGCTCTCAGTCAAACTCCATGGAAGGAAGCCATGCTTGAAGAGATGAAGGCCCTTGAGAAGAATGGTACTCGGGATATTGTTCCATTACCTGGGCGTAAGAAACCAGTAGGCTGCAAATGAGTCTACATAATAAAGTATCATGCAGACAGAACAATTGAGAGATATAAAGCCCGGTTAGTTGCAGAGGGGCTTCACTCGGACCTATGGGATTGATTATGTGGAAACATTTGCTCCAGTTGCCAAGATGAACTCTATACGTGTCCTCCTTTCTTTGGCAGCTAATTTGAATTGGCTTTTACATCAACTAGATGTAAAGAATGCTTTCCTTCATGGTGACTTGGAGGAAGAGGTGTATATGACTATGCCACCAAGGTTTAAGCTTGCCAATAGTCAGAATTTAGTGTGCAAGCTAAATAAGCCTTGTATGGGTTAAAGCAATTATCACGTGCTTGGTTTGAGAGGTTCAGCACTGCTATGAAAAGAGTAGGGTACACACAGAGTCAGGCAGATCATACTCTCTTCATCAAGAATCACCAAGGCTGCACCACTGCCCTTATTGTATATGTTGATGATATTGCTATCACTGGAAATCCAGAAGAGATTCATCGAATGAAGTCATTCTTGGGGACATAGTTTGATGTTAAAGACCTCGGATCACTGAGATACTTTCTTGGCATCAAGGTGTGTAGATTGAAGAAAGGGGTGTTCATTTCTCAACGGAAGTATGTGTTAGATTTATTAGCTGAAGCAAACAAGCTTGGAGCTAAACCTATTGATATTCCCATTGAGCATACCCATAGGCTTAATGATGTAAATGGAGACCTATTAGAAGATGTGGGGAGATTTTAGTGATTGGTTGGAAGACTAATTTACCTATCTCTCACGAACCCAGATATTGCCTACGTTGTTAGTGTGATTAGTCAGTTTATGCATGCTCTATGTACACATCACCTTGAGGCAGCTCATCATGTTCTTCGCTACCTCAAGGGTTCAGCTGGTAAGGGGATATTGTTTGGCCGTCATAACCACATATGTGTTGAAGCCTATACTAATGCTGATTGGGCAGGGTACAGATCGACGATCTACTTCAAGATATTACACATTTGTAGGAGGTAATCTTGTTTCATGGCGAAACATGAAACAATCTGTAGTAGCTAGTTCTAGTGTAGAGGCTAAGTACAGATCCATGGCACATGGAGTTTGTGAGTTGTTATGGCTACGAACGATGTTGGATTAGTTGGGTTATCCTATTCGCGAGTCAATGAAGTTGTATTGTGACAACAAGGCTGCTATTAGCATTGCCCATAATCCAGTTCAACATGATAGGACAAAGCACATTGAAGTCGATCGGCACTTCATCAAGGAAAAGCTTCGTCTTGGGCTGATTTGTACTCCATATGTCAACACACATGATCAGGTTGCTGATGTTTTAACTAAGGGTGTGAGCAAGACTTGCTAGCAAAATATATTAGTCAAGCTGGGCATGATAAATATCTTTGCACCAGCTTGAGGGAGTGTTTTCAGGGGCTTATGTGTAATTCTTGAAACTCATTATTATAAATATAATGCGGTGGAAGGATGAAAGTATTCTTTCATTCTTTCTTTCTTTCCCCATCTCTCTTTTTCTCTCATCCTCTTTCTTCTCTTTTTCTTTTTCTTTTTCTTTTTCTTTTTTTCCTAAATTTCTTTTCTCTTTTTCTTCTTCCTATACTTTACTCTTGATTTGATTATATCTTAAAGTCAACACAGACACCTACTGGGAACCTCTTGATTGATTGAGGACTACTAGATTTCAATAAATGGTTTTTGGAAAATATGATTGATCCACCAATCAATTGAAATCTACTAGAGAGCCCTTCGATTGATCAACCTATCGATTGATACTTATTGCTTTTCAATAAATACTCACCTTCAAAACCTTTTCAAATATCAATATTTTGAAAAGCTATTTCATAAAACAAGTTTAAATATGCATTTTGAGTCTCCAAAATCAAAACTACATTATCTAAGGTCATATACCTGTGCCCTAGATTAATGATTGAGCATGAGAATTTAGCATTGTGTTCTTCACAAATCTTTGTCTAGGTTGTCTTCAACAATTGTGCACTTCGTGATTCATGACACTTTTGACACATTATAACCTGAATTTTGAGAAGGAAATTACCAACACGACTTGTAATACTTTCTCAATCTACCCTTTTGGCAATTCTGAAACAAAACCTAAACAATTGACTAACTCAACCAAAATCCCCTATCACCCGTAGATGTACATAAAAAAAATATTTAAAATCTCAATCAGCTTGATATTTATCAACTTCAAATAATGTTTTTCTATTGTCTGTATGGCAGTAGGCACAGACAAGACAAACATGCCCAAGCATAATATTGTCAATTAAAGATAAATATATATATATGTTAAATAAAGGAATAAACATATTTATGCATATCTCAACTTTATTATATCAAATTGGCTAAAAAACACCTCTCCTCAATACGACATCCCATAAATCTAGAATTTATCCCCCTTTTTGTAATGTAATTGACAAAAAATATAAAGGAAAATATTTAGTAGAGATAATCAAAAAGCTAAGCTGGAAATATTACGGTATTTTTGGAATTTTATATGAAAAAAAAAAAAAAAAAATTAACCACTATGTATAAAGATATTTTCTCCTCACTGAACATCATATCATAATGACACTTTGATAACAACGCATGACTCTACAAGATAAATAAAATCAAAATACCGAGCTTTATCAATGAAGAAAGTCTCAACAAGTATATTTCACTTTTCAACCATTAGAAAGATCTTCAATTTCATTCCTTAGTGTGAAAAAGTGAACTAAATCATCAAGACATCAACTATAATAATTTGAGTCTCCACAATGTCAATGTTATTTAGTAATCATAGTCATCAAGATTCCCACACATAAATGCAGACCAAATCAACATATAGAAGAAATTCAAGAAAATTTCAACCAACTCCTTTGAGAATCTCTTTTGGATTGTTACCAAGCTTTGATGGCTTTTCACACTAATGGGTAACAAGCTATTAAAGAAGATAATTTTATCTACTATTGATTTTTCATTATGCATTATTGTCTTGGTAGCTTCAGGCATGTCCCATAGGTACCCATTTCAAAGATGGTTAAGCATCAGCACTTCGTCTTTTGTATATTTCTTTTCATTTCTCAGTGATCCCATTTCATCATTTTCCTTTTTCTTTTTTCTTTTTTCTTTTTCCTCTTGGTCTTTGTCATTTATATGGTTATCCCAAATCCCATAATCACTAAGATAACATTAACATATATTAAAACAAATCAAAACAGTGACTCTTTAGTGTGCTTGTGTTCATACAAGTAAACTCCAATGAACCAAAACTTAATGGAAGAAGAGTAAATCAACTAAATATCAATAAATCTTCAATAATAATTGTAATACTATCACATAGACATGAAAATAAATAGAGCAGAGAAATTTTCAAAAACTCTAAATAGGAAAAACCATGGTACCTAGTCCAACCAGGAACAATCTGCTCTGAGAAAAAGGTTACAACTAGGTTGACAGTTTCCACACCCCAGAATCCCTAGTCACCTCTTGACACAGATCACAGTCTTCAGAAATTTGATCTGCTCCGTCAACAGATTTCACTCATCACTTAACCAGCTTCTCCATGGTTATTCAATCCTTATAGCCTGATGATTTTCTCCTTGTTGAACACTCAATCATATATGTAAGTATCTAAAGGAAACCCTAGCTTGAGCAGTAAAAGAAATTCTCTCATTCACAAGGTTTTCTCTCTAGATGCTTAGAGGCCTAGATTGATGCCCTAGATTGACTATAGACTGATATATAGCCAATCTAGAAGACATATGCCTTTAGGTAATCAAATTCTTGTAGAGTCTATTTTGAGTTACCAAAAATAAATTTCCCCAGGGTCCGATTGATTGAGGCATCAATTAGCACCTGGGAACCTCTTCATCGATCGAGGACCACTAGATTTCAGTAAAAAAGTATTCTGGAAAAATTCGATCGATCCACCTATCAATTAAAGTCTACTGGAGAGCCCTTCGATCAAATTCGATGCTTACTGCCTTTCAATAAAAACTCAGTTTAAAACCTGTTAAAAAATCAATACTTTGAAAAGTTATTTTTCCAAAAACAAGTTTAAATAAACATTTCATTCAAAGGTCATTTAACGGTGCCCTAGATATATGGTTGAGCATGCAAATTCCAAGCCCTTTTCTTTGAGAATCTTTGTCTAAGTACATTTCATCAGTCATGACAATTTGACATATTAAAGTCAAAGTTTTGAGAAGGAAATTGTCAATGCATGACTCATTACTTAACAACCTTTAACAGAGGAAATGATCATGAATTTTAGAGTAACAAGAAAGCATCAATCATCCGGGCTACCCAGATAATTTACTGAATGAAGACCTTATTTAGTTAAAAAGCAAATTGTTTCTCTGGTTTTTTGCAAGGGAGTTAATATGCAAATCATAAGACTACCACAATGTGACAATGACATGATTGAGCATAAGAACGTTGTACGAAAACCATAGCAAAACCAAAAACAAAAACAAAAACAAAAAATAGAGGATGTCAAACCAATTTGAAGAGAAGCAAAACAAGCACAACATTTTGATTTACTTTAGAGTCCAAGTAACTTCAGTACCCTTCTTTAATACATATTGATACTATGGTCATGTTCAAAGCTAGGATAGGATGTTCCATGTCGATTCCATGGTGATGCCCGCCATGATGATGGCCATGCACATGGTCATGAGCCAACTGATTGCCTATGTCAGGAGCTGCTGAGACCAAACCCTGTGGATAAAATATAAATAATTTTTATGGTATAAAATAACTGTAGCAGATTCAGCTGGACATGATAATTTACCACACGCCACATCAATTAAATTGCATCAACTACAATAGAAAGCAAGACATGTAACACTGAACATAAGAGTTAAAATTCGCAATTCTGGATATAAGAATCTTAGCAGACAAGAAGAAAGGGAGAGAAGAAAAAGAATTGTACCAGCAAAATATCTAAAGCATGCCATGCAATACCCCCAGCAGTTGCCAAAAGCATACAAGAAATTCCAAGGGCTCCTAGAGTCTCAAATTTACCATGTCCTGAACCATAACAAGCAGAACCAATTTTAAACTGTAGAAGCATGTTTGTACAGAAAAATAAAGAATTGAACAGTACATACATGCATGTGTGCACAAAGGCAGGAAAGAAGAAAAAAATAGAAACTGAGAGAGGAGGATTAGATTTGGAGGCATCGATATTTACTAATCCAAAACTAGTAACTCTAACCTCCAGCAAAACCATTAATTGATAAACCAGTAAGTAAACTCAATTCCTTCTTGTTCTTTTTCATTAACTCATTTTTGACAGTATATAGGCTTATTTCACAACGTTAATGACAAAAAAAAAAATACTAATAAATAAATATAACAAGAAAGATTTAAAAAACTTAACTTTAAGCAAACTCGAACAACCTGAGAAATTAGGACCTTAACCCTAGGCTCCGATATAGAGTAGCGCAAGGCCGTAATCTAGACCTAGAAGGGGGTGAATAGGTCTTAATAACCCAATTAACCGATGTTAACTGACTAAGATAACAACAATTCAAAAAGAAAAGGAAAATTTTTAAATTTTTTATGATTTGGTTAGCAGGAAAAGAAAAAATTTGAGGAAAATCACTTTCCATAACCACCTAGTTTTTCTATAAAAATTTCCTCCCAAAAACACAAGGAAATTTTGATTTCTTGAGATAATTTTGTGAACTTACAATATTTTCCTTTCTTTTTTGATAAGTTACATACCATTCAACCCATAAAATGGTAATTTTATATAATTTTCTTGCAAAATTTTCATGCTAACCAAATTGATATTGGAAACTTAATTTTCTTTCATTTCACTTCACTTTTTTTTACTTTCACTTTCCATCACTAGTTTCCATCTAACCAATTGGACCCGCAATGAACAGGAAGATTTTCACGTGGAAACTGCAAGGAAAAACTACGAGACCTAATCTAGGCAAACAAAATCCACTATGAGAAAGAGATTATACAACTAGGTTATCAGTCTTCCAAATCCTAGAAAGCCCCTAGTTACCACATAATAAAGACAAATGCCAAGCCCCTAGTCTCCAGGCTACTGCTCCGTAAACAAATTCGTTCCTCACACGATCCGTTTCTCCATGAGCACATTGATTTTCATGACAAGTAATATCCAGGTTGCATGTTCGTTGTACAGAAACACTTCAGTTTTGAATTCTCCATTAGCATCAGATCAGTTTTGGTTGACTTCACCTATTTTTGTTTCTGCTTGCGCAACCATCTCCGATCTTTTGCAAGAATGGTGGAGTGTCTCTGTCACACCTCCAAGTTGAAGTGATGATACTCTTGACCTTTCCTCAACGAGTGCATGACTTATCATCGCAATAATGACATTTGCAATCCAAATTTTCCATAGAATGAGAAAATTAAAACCACCACACCTTCCCGTTCTCATGATAAAACCATGGCAGTCATAATCCCATACAATAACCAATTGATTATGTTTCAAAAAGGTACTAGACTATACTAATTATTGTGGAGAAGATAGAATACTACTTACCAATTAGATGAAATCCTTTCCTTGCTAAATTGCTTCATCTGGACTTCTTCTCTTCTTCACTTTCTTCCTTTCTCTTCTTCATTTTCCTGCTTGTCTACATTGGTAGAAGAAAATGGTGAAACCCTAGCTCAAAATGTTCTTCACTTGTATATATTCATGATATCCCTTGTCGGGATAATGCAAATTTGTGTCTCTTGGTTGAGGACAATATGGTAATTTTACCTTTTAAAAGTTGGAAAAGTCTACTATCCCTTGTTGGGATAATGCAAATATAAAAGCTTATTAAATGTGTATCCAAACAAAGAGATATCATGACTATATACAAGTGAAGAACATTTTGAGCTAGGGTTTGACTATTTTCTTCTACCAATGTAGACAAGGAGGAAATTAAAGAAAAGAAAGGAACAAAGTGAAGAAGAGAAGAAGTCTTGACACAAGAAGCAATCTAGCAAGGAAAGGAGCAAGTGGTATTCTATCTTCTCCACAATAATTAGTATAGTCTAGAACCTTTTTGAAACATGATCAAGTTGGTTATTGTATGGGATTATGACAGATATGGTTTTAATCATGAGAATAGGAAGGTGTGGTGGTTTTAATTTTTTTCATTGTATGGAAAATTTGGATTGCAAATGTCACGCACTTGTTGAGGAAAGGTAAGAATACCATCACTTCAATTTGAGGGCATGACAGTCTTGGCCTCAGGACCATCGATCAGACCACCTAACTCATCTTCATTACTTTGGTTCATATGGCCCTTTAGATTGAAAGACGCTAGGAAAGAGCTCCTCGTAAATGAATCATGAGAACCAAAGTCCTGATAGAGGTCCAAGTCTTGCTGAAGAGGCCCAAAGGAGTTATAAAGGTCAGGTCCTTAAGAACGGGCCTTCAACTTACCACCTTGACACCCAAAAGAATGAGACATAGGAATTGATTTCCTTGTTGGGCTTGATCTACGTCTTTTAACATGGGAGTCCAACAAAGCATCCACCTGGCCCAAACGAAGTCCACAATTTTTTTTTCTGTCAATTGAAACGGCCTGGACATGAGATGGACCATTTGATTGCTGCCTTAAACCCAAATAATGTTTAGGCCAAAAACCTTTCAAACCTTTAACTCCAGAAGGAAGCCTCCCGTTTGGACCAACCCAAGAAGAGAACAATAAAGAATCACATGCCTTCCACCTGCTTAATGGAGCATGTGTTGCCGTTTGAAAATTGAAAACATCTCGTGTCCTTCGATCACTAGTAATTCGGATAAGGCATTATATGCCAATCACGTGTCTACCCCATTGCTCCAAGCATTCCACGCGCTACATGCGCGTGAACATCACCACATCATCTTCAACCTTTGCAAAAGCTCGCATTCTACAACTTCCAACCCTCTTTCCATTGTTCAAATTCCTCCAACACCTTCAGGGCCTTTTGCGACCATCTTCCACAAGTCTTAAAGAGCCACTCATCGTGAATAAAGACCATTGGCGAACAGACACCTCCACCCCGCACGGTGATGCATCTTTTGTCTTATCGGCTTCCACCCACAAAAAACCTCCACAAAGGTCCCCTACTGTCACAAACAGAGCATGACACCAAAGATGAAGAGGAAGACCGTACAAAACCACCCTTCTCAACCCTTTTTCTTTCAGATCGCCTGCGCATCCCACCCTAACCCACCAGGGATCCACTTGTAAAGTGGCATGTCCCCGATCACCTCTTCCTTTCCTCAGCACCCAACGAGGTTCTTCGTGCAATGGAAGACAAAAGAGAAACAAACCATCGGGTAATGTCAACACACCAACTCCACAAGATAGACGCCAAGCACAGGTGGCCCAATCAGCAATTTGAGCCCAAGCACCAACTTCCTTGTCAAATTTCCCCACCAAACACGACCTCAACCTAAATCTTATAGACCTAATAATCATTGACATTTACTTGAACTTCTAAAATGAACAATTATTTGAAATCAAAAGATAAACCAATTAATACTAGTCAAATTAAACAACACATAAACTTAGTGTTAAAAAAATTCAAAGAGCAACAAAGAATGCTAAATGACATCCACAAGAAAAAATTCATCAATAAATAAGGGAATTTAGCAACTTTCCCAACTTGTCTAGTTCCATACACACAATAGCGCTACAAGGATGCAATCTACACTAGGAAGCACGGACACTCCAAAATGGGCGAAGAATCCGCGTCCGACACGTGTCGAACACGGACACGCGTCGGACACGCCCCGACACTTATCGGACACGCCAAAAAACGTGTCTAGAATTTTTAATTTTTTTTTAATTTTCGGACATGGCACGGACACGGCTCGGACACTCTGCGGACACGACATGTACACTCCGCGGACACAGACACAGACACGGCATGGACACTTCTGGAATTTTTTTTTTTTTTTTTTTTTTTTTGAATGCTGATATGTTCTTTTTCTTTTTGTTTTGTACTACCCTTTTGGTATTGTAAATGGTAAAAGTCATAGGTCAAATGATAGATGGGAATAGATGATAGTATACTGACTTGTTTTTGTATCTTTTTTGGGGACTAGCCTTTAGGTTTTTGTGAATATTAAGTGCTAACAGTAAAGTCATGAATGTTAATAGTCCTTTCTGTCTATGCTTTTGTATTTGGAGTAAAGTTGCAATGATGATTAGATGATACTAGTTATTATTCTAATGTCTTATTTTTTATTTGGTTTTATAATTCTGCAACATTGTTCTTTTATAATTTATTAGTTATGAGTTATGATTTGTGTTTTTTTTTCATCGTGAGGTTGATGAAAAATAGTAACACTCAGTAATTTTTAAAGTACTACATCACATATATATATATACTATTGGCCGTGTCCGTGTCCTAATTTTTTTGGATTTGCCGTGTCGCCGTGTCGGTGTCGTGTCGTATCCGTGTCCGTGCTTCTTAGAATCTACAGAATCATTCCTTTATGCAATAAAAATGGTTGGTTTAAAGATGTCCAAAGTCTGCAAATATAGGGTTTATAGTGCCTTGTATTTCTTAGAAGGTAAAAACAATATGGAACAAGACTTTGGAGGGAGGCCATTATTCTTACAACATACAATATATATGCGCTTATCTATGGAGCAAACTACTTTTCTTAGTTGATATGGATTAAGAATTACTTTCTTCTATAAACAACCTAATTTTCATTATTCCGTAAGTGTAAAATGTAATATATAACATAGAAAAATAGTCTTTGAAATCATTAGAACTTTTCCATTCTCAAAAAGTAAGCATTAAAAAAATAATAATAAAACAAAATTAGAAACAATCTTGTACTGAGGCCAAAGCACCAAAGAAACTCATTATCAAACACATTCAAAAACAAAGTACAAGCAAAAAAAATTCCAATGGTATAGCACGTAGGTACAAATCAAAAGTGACCATATGGGTGTTCTTTGTCCTTAGGAACCCTTGCAGCTTTAAATGACAATAAAGCAACGCCACTAAGGACCTGCAGTGTAAATCACAGAACAATAATTAGTAGAGAGCTCGCAGAGTAAAGACCATTATTTTAAGACTAAGAGGATCTCTAGAAAACAAAAAGAATTAAGATCATCTCAGAAGCAAATTAATATATAGATTTTTTTCTTGACTCCATACATCACAAGAAAAAACAGATGGATGTAGCAAAATATATGTGAATCAAACACACTAATCAAAAAAATAGTATCAAAGGAGTAGTAAATGGCAGATCATCTCATGCTGAATATGCCAATAACACAAGGGCAATGTCGGCTGAAATAAGGAACAACATCCGGCAATTATATTTTAGGAACAAACTCACTATCCACTTATAGATTATCAGACACAATAAGCATTATTGCAAATCAACAAACACATCAAATTACAAGTTATCAAACACAACCGTATCATTAGGCACCTAATTTTCAATATATTCATCTCTCTACCAGAAAACAACTTCAAATTCACCGATCTTGAAGCATTAAATTACCACATCGGAGAGGGAATGAGCTGCGTCGGCAATGACCGCAGTGCTGCCAGAAAGATAACCGGTCAATGCTTTTCCAGCAGCTAACCCAATGTCGGCGGCAAGACCCAAACGGAAAACTTTCTCGCCTTCCTTGCCCGATCGGTCGTAGTCTTGGTGGTGGTGGTGAGAATGGCCCAAGTGCCACCTTTTGTAAATCTTGTAGTTAGGGTTTTCAGGGTGTACTGGTGAGAAATCATACATGTGAGGATTGAGAGCTTGAATTAGAGGGTTATGAGTGGAGACATTGAGACTGTTGTGGGAAGAAGATGAAATTCTTGAGATGTAGGTTCTGCAAATGGGATTGAAGTTGAAGAATCTGAATCTCATTTTGAGAGAGAGGGGGGGGCTGAGTTTCACTGAAATCAAAAGGGTTTTGGTTTTGGTTCCCTTGGAAGGGTTTTAGGATTTGTATTGTATTCATCAGGTAAGGACATAAAAGACACGAGAAAAATGAAATGATACCATTGAAAACGACTCTAGAAAGTCAATCGAATTTAAAGTTTAAACAAAGTTCGGGTTTGTTAAAAAACCCTAATAGTAAAAATCCGCAAAGTCCCGCTTTAATTAATAATTAATATATAAATAAATATTTTGTATTAACTATAATTATTTTTCATTATTTCTTATGATAATTTTAAATTTTAACAACATTTTATTTATTATAATTAATTAATATTTGACTATATTAAAAAATTACAAAATTTATCTTAAATTTGTTAAAATTTAAATTATTTTTCTTAAAAAATATGTATATCTTTTTTTTCATAAATGAGGTTTGTAATAAGAGCAAAAAAATATGTATATATGAGTCGGAGTGTCTCAAACATTTCAATGAGCAAAAAAAATTTCATTGGTAGAACAGATTAAAGAAAAGAGTGTCATATCTTGAACTTGCCTCGTTGACTTCCATAGTTTAAATAAATGTACTAACTCATAAATGTGTCACAAAAAAAAAAATTCGATTATTTTTCAAGTTTCATACATATTTCTTGATGAAAAGCAATAAGATATAATGAAATTTTAAAAAATTATTAACATATCCATCAAAGAAAGTCAAAATCAATCGCTAACAACGTAATTCACATGTGAGCTTGATGAACTCAATATTTTGAACTTATCACAAACCCAAGCAAATCACGAGTTATGTCCAAAAGCATGCTATAATTTTGATCAGAAACTTTTTGTTATCTTCATACTTAATTTTTTTTTTTTTCAAAAATTTTTTTTATTGGAAAATTAGTAAAAACAATTTACAACTTTGACTTAGCTAACACTAATAACATATAAAATGAATAAAAAAATAAAAACATCTTTGAAGTTGTTGTCTTTATGGCCAATTGCTTTGGAGCCAACCGTGGCTTTACTTAAAAATAAATATAAATAAAATAAAAAAGCTTATCATATTTTTGCAATCTATTTCGTTGCATCCCGGATGACAAAGAGTAAAGCTCCACTTACCAAGTACTAATTTTTGAGGGGGTGAATAGAATTTATAGCAAATATTGGCAAATATTCTGAATTAAAGGATTAAGCAAGACTAATTCAATTATCAATTTAAATTTGTGTAATAAGAATGATATGAATATATTCAAAGCAATTACAGTATAAATAAGATAAGGGAAGATATAATCAAACACAAATGACTTGGAAATTTAGTGAGGTTCAGAACTGCTATTCCTCAGCTCAAGGTCTCTCTTGAGACTTTTCCAAATCTACTATAACTTCTCATTTCAGGTGGAGAGCAGTTATTTACAAGAAGTTAACTAGCTTCTCCTTCCTTTTTGTTAAGAGAATCACATTCTCTTAGACTTCCTTTTAGGTCACGCTAACCCTTACCAAAAAATTATAGGAAGATAGATTGCTTAAATCAATGCTCACAAGACTAGAATAAATATGAAGCTCAAATCTATTGAATGAATGAGTAAGATAGTACAAGAGTGTATTGAATGCTTAAATATCTCACTTGTATCTCATTAGGGCTAGTTTAGTGTGGTGGAATGGAATAAAAGAAAGTGGAATGGGATGGTTTTTTTTTTTCCATTCTTGTGTTCGGTGCCAATTTTAAAGTTGGAATCATCATTTCCCACTATTCTTGGAGAATGATCATTCCATCAAAATCATTTCATCTTTAAACAAAAGGAATAACCATTCCATTTCATTCTCATTTCATTCCCACCTCCATTCTCATTCCATTCCAATTCATTCCACCACACCAACTAGTCCTTAGTGTTTTTCACACTTGTGTCTTCTTATTGATAAATGCCTCAGCCATATCTAAAGAGAAATCTAGCTGAAAAGAGCTATTAGAGGTTGTTGGAGAGCATTAAATGAAAAATTAGCCATTTGAATTCAAATCTACCACAAACCAGTAGCCTAACTTAGAGTACGAGTCGCCTGGGAGCTAAACCTGGTTGATACTATCAGTCATCTTAAATATTGCTCCATTTCACTAGAGTTCCCGGCTACCTCAAATTGTTCAACCAGACGATTGGTTGAACTTAGACACTTTTAAAGCTGTCTTGGTTCTTGGAATTGATTTAGGTAATTATACGTATCAATGAAGTTCAAGATCAATTTATAGGTTGTTTACGAATTAAATATGAAATTTCAAGGCATATGACATAATCCTATAAATGTGAGCTTCAAAGAAATATTTAAAATTACTTTAATATTGAATCATAAACACTCACCCCTATATTTACCTCAATCTTCATATTTTGACATTTTTCTTTGAGGTTCATTCTTGCTCATTGAGATGCATTATTCACTTTGCATCCTTGAATGCTTTATATTTAACCATTTACATCTTCAAGTCATTTCCATGTTCATTCCTTGATCATTGATGTCTTCATGTGTATTGGAATGCTTGTAAATTGTTGTAGTTCATCTTTGCCTTGTTGAATGGTATCTTGAAAAAGTGATCATTTATAACAACACTAATTATAGACATTAGTGATTAAACACCATTAATGGTTTGTAATTATCAAAATTACTAAATTACCCTTAGATCAAAACCTTTAGGTCAACAGCTACCATGCTCAATCTTTTGAATGACATTACTAATTGAATCCAATAAGGACTCTTTGTAATGAATAAATAAAATACACTCTCTCTCCTCTTAAAATATTTTTATCAATCATTACCATATCAATCAATAATTGCCACAAATCGACGAGATTATCTTTTCTCCATGACAAAACACCCTACTTGATCAGATACTCTGCCTTGCCCCACTCCAACTTGTTTAAAATAATTTTGGGGTCTATTTAAGGGTTTTGTGTGGAGAGGAATTTTTGGTGTAAAAACTTGCACAAGTGCAGGGTCGGGACAGGTAAAGTGCCCTGTTTTTAGGAATTTACTATTTTACCCGTAATATATGTACATATATGCCTTAAAAATCTAGTCTCTCTGTTACTCAAATGAATACAATTTAGATAATTTACTTTCATATGTTGGAAACTTTCATATTAATTAATCAATATTAATCTTATTTTATTACCAAAATGTTTATTAGATTTATATTCTTAAATTTGACTTTTTAAAATTTGCGTAAAAAAATTAGTGGAAGTTTGGGTGGGGCAGGGTAGAGGAACTTAAATAGAGTAAGGATGGGGTGGGAAGGGGTGTTTGCTAAATGGTTTTGGGAGAAACATGGTGAACAAATTTAAACAGGGACAGAGAAGTGACCCTCTGCCCCAAATCTTTCTGGGTGCCATTCTTACTCGTTCTATATATATATATATAGGGAGGCTGTCAGGCAGTCCAAAAAAACGGACGCTTTAACGGTCCTAAGTGAAGCTCTTTTTTTAAGCCTTAAAAGCCATATTGGTGGGACCACCCTTAAAAGCCCCTTTATGAACTTATGATACTTAAAAGCCACAACACGTGGGTGCTGCAATTGAAAGAACAAAATGTCCAGGTGGGATCACTCTTTTATAAACAATAAAAAAATAAATAAATGAACTTGGACTTTATCACTTTAACCCTAACGAATTAAAGTCACAGTACACTTTTTTCTTCTTAACAAAAGTTACACCCCTCTCTGACTGTTTCTACCATTCAAAGAAAAAAATGGACTTTATAGCTTTAACCTACCACATCACTTTCTCTTTTCTTTTAATTTGCCACGGAAAGTCATAACACTCTCTTTTCTTCTTAACTTGTCGATTAATAAGTACAAAGATACTATCTTTTTTATTTCAACACATTTCCATTTTTGTTAATCAAACATATTCATTATACACATTTACATAAACGGAAATCAAATCAAACCAAAGTCAGAACTTTAATACAATCATATTTAGAACAAACCTAACTTAGAGTTCTCAAATCAAATACAGTCAAATACAAAATTCAGAATAAGTAATGCATTAAAATGAAAGCAAATACATCCAAATCCCATCAAATATTTTCATGTACAAGTTATAGTGATGTTCCTGAAATAATAAACAAAACGTTAGATGATTTCCAAATTAAAACATTATTTATAAGAGACTTTCGCAACCACATGTGGATGAATAACTATCATAATCTAGACTTTAGCCTGTAGTTGCATCGTCGTCCGGGAATAAATATTTACAACAAAAACCAACCAAAAATCATGCAAGATTTACATACATTTTAGAAACTATCAAAATAAATGAAAAATTACTAATTTCTTACCGATTTGTAAACATTGGACAGTTTCTTTTATCGTGTGACTAGCCAACCAAACCACACACATTACACCATCTAGCTTTAAAATTTTTGGCCCATCCCAATGCTTTCTCTTTCCCTCCCTTAAGCCTTTTGCCACACTCTTTTGCATAAACTTGGCACGGTTCATTGCAATAATTGAAACTCCACCCGAAGCAACTACACTTCGAATTTGACTTCTTTCTACAATATCAACTAAACTTGTATTACAACCAACCATTTGATTGACTTTATCATGTGCACCACCAAAAGCATCGGTATAAACCTTAGTTGTTTTTCCACTAGTAAGGGCCTTATCAACCATATCTAAAGCAAGTTGAATTAATTCATTCCGCTTAAGTAGATATGATTTATCATCAATTATCTCAATGCCACTCTCATCAACCACTGCCCCTAATTTTGCCCTTTTTGTCTATCTACTCAAAAGGTATTGACTTGGCAATTTGGCAATTTTTCATAATCATGCATTTTATGCAAGTACCCTAACACGTGTCTACAAGGAATTCCCAAACTCTTAAATTTTTTGCAAGTATATGAAGCAAAATCCAACATCTTGTCGTAATGAATTTCTCGCAATGGATAATTTTCAACATTTTTTATTTGAATCTCTCTGACATCTCTCATCATGAAATTTATAAAACATTTCATGCGTATAGATATCAACCACATGCAACAAAAACTCACGAGTCATTTTCACTTTAGGCTTCTCAACCATATCTTTGTGATCC